CTCCGAAATGCCGCAAGATCGCTCCAAGACGCCCAACATGGCCCCCAGACGGCCCAAGAGGCCTCCAAGAGCACTCTCAAGAGGCCCCAAGAGGCACATATCATTGCGTTCCCTTGAGTTTGGGGCGGATTTTTGCGCTTCCACCTTTTCGGCTCCCCGACGCCCCAAGGCGGCCCAAGAGGCCCCCAATACCGCCCCTAGAGGGCCCAAGGGGCCAACATAGAGGGCCCCAAGACGGCCCAAGAGGGCTCCAAGACGGCCCAAGAGGCCTCCAAGACCGCCCAAAAAGGCACCGAGAACACCCGAAGACAGGTCCCAGGGGGGGAACACGAAACAACAGTTCGAGCATTCGGCCCGAAGAAGCCCCCAGGACTCCCCAAGGGGCCCCTAAGAGGCCCCCAGAGGCCCCCAACAGGCCCTCAGGAGGCCCCCCCAGGACGAAATCTTCACCCTGAGTCCTGTTCTGACGGCCCTGGAGCTCGCGGAGGGCCCCGCGGGGCCCGAACGCGGCGAAAACCATGAGAACCCGTCTCCCTCAGGACCCGCTCCCCCCATGATTCCCGATCAGACCTGGAGGGGGGGGAGGAGGAGGAGGACAAGGAAGAGGAGGGGGGGGAGGAGGAGGAGGAGGAGGAGGAGGAGGAGGAGGAGGAGGAGGAGGAGGAGGAGGAGGAGGAGGAGGAGGAGGAGGAGGAGGAGGAGGAGGAGGAGGAGGAGGAGGAGGAGGAGGAGGAGGAGGAGGAGGAGGAGGAGGGAGGAGGAGCAGGAGCAGGAGCAGAGCAGAGAGGAGGAGCCCCACACCTTGACCTGGGCGGAAGGCCCCGCGGGTAGCCGGGGCGTCCAAGATGGCCCAAGACGGCTCCAAGAGGGCCTCAGAGAGCCCGAGATAGCCTCCAACATGGATGGCTCAAGATAGCGCAAGATGCCTCAAGAAGGAGGAGGAGGAGGAGGAAGAGAGGAGGAGGAGGAGGAGGAGGAGGAGGAGGAGGAGGAGGAGGAGGAAGGAGCAGGAGGAGGAGCAGGAGGAGGAGCAGGAGCAGGAGCAGGAGGTAATGGAAGAGGGGGGCATTGAGCCCCCCCCCCCACACCTTGACCTGGGCGGAAGGCCCCGCGGGTAGCCGGGGCGTCCAAGATGGCCCAAGACGGCTCCAAGAGGGCCTCAGAGAGCCCGAGATAGCCTCCAACATGGATGGCTCAAGATAGCGCAAGATGCCTCAAGATGGATCCCAAGGCGCCCCAAGACGCCTAAATACCGCACTAAGACGGCCCCAAGTGGCCAAAGAGCTCCCCACGGAGCCCCTCAATGGGGCCAACCGCATGCCAAAAACGACGGACAACATGTTGTTGGCCTTCTCGCTGTTTCGCTTCCGATGGCCTTCGCAGGCCCCAAGATGGCCCCAAGATTGCCCGAGAGGGCCCCGGGGGAAGCCCACGAGAGCCCAATGGCGGTCCCAAGAGCGCCCCAGATCGCCCCAGGAGCGCCTCAGGAGGGGCAAAGCTAATATACGACCACTCCTTCTTTGATGTATCTCATCCAACATGGCCCAAAGAGCGCCCCGAAGGCTCCCGAGAGCGCCCCGAGAGGGGCGAGGCGCCCAACAGGCCCCCGAGAGGCTTCCCAGAAATCCCCAAGAGGCCCCATGAGGCCCCAAGAGATACGCAAGAGGCCCCCGGAACCGCCAGGAGGCACCAAAGATGGCCCAAGAGGCCCAAGCTCGCCATTGTCCTCCTCCTCTTCCCCCCCCCCCCCCCCCCTCCTCCTCCTCCTCTTTTTTGGTTGTTCCTCATCCCTCCTCCCCCTCCCGGTCTCCTCCTCCCCCCCAGCTGCTGCTGCTTCTGCTGCTCCTCCTCCTCCTCCTTCTCCTCCTCCTCTTCCCCCTCCCTCCCTCCTCCTTTTCGCTCTCCGCGCCCGCCCTCCTCCATCTCCTCCTCCTCATCTCCTCCCCCCCACCCTCTCACCCCCTCCCCCCCCCCCGCCTGCGCCCCCCCCCCCCTGGCCCCCCTCTTCCTCCTCCTACTCCTACGACGACGACTCCTCCTGCAACCCCCCTCTTGGGGTGCATGGCGGCCCACCCCGCCTTCGGTTCTTCTGCATGCTCACCCGCCCCCCTCATCGCCGCCACTCCCCTGGGGCTCATTTCTGGGCGGGCAAGTGGGGATGCGCGAAGCGTCTTGAAATCCTTCCTTGCCGCGCTGGGACCAGCAACACTCTCGCGTTTGACTGGGGCGGCGTCTTCATGCGGATCAAAGCTTTTTCTTGGCAGTCAACAGCTCCAGCCGGGCCGCGCGGCCCGCCGCCGTCGGCGCTGGCTTCAGCTGGGCATGGCTCTGCGCAGACTGGTCGGGCTGATGGGGTGGCTGAGGGGAAGACGTCGACGTCGGCGGTGGCGGCGCATTTGGCGGCGGCCGCAGTCGCGGCGGTGGCTGCCGCGGGCGCAGGACCGCCATCGGCTGCGGCATGGCATCCTGGGGTCGGGGCCAGTGTACTTTGTCATCAGGATTCTGGAATCCGGCTGCTGGCCCTCGCCCTCGAGGCCCACCGCCAGTAGCGTCCGGCGCTCCGCCAGGGCGATCTGCTCCGCGACCTCCGACGTTCGCCACCCAGCGGAGCTGCATGGCATCGCGCCGAGGAAGAAAGAGAGGAACGGGCCCCTGAGAGACAGAGACAGAGACAGAGACAGAGAGAGAGAGAGAGAGAAAGAAATAAAGAAAAAACAAAACAAAAAAGATAGAGAAAGAAATATAATACATACATATAAAAATATACATATATATAGAGAGAGAGAGAGAGAGAGAGAAATAGAAAGAGAGAACACAGAGAGAGAGAGAAAGAAAGAAAGAAACAACAAAACAAAAAGATAGAGAAAGAAATATAATACATACATATAAAAATATACATATATATAGAGAGAGAAATAGAAAGAGAGATCAGAACAGAGAGAGAGAGAGAGAAAAGAGAGAGAGAGAGAAAGAAAGAAAGAAAAAACAAAACAAAAAAGATAGATAAAGAAATATAATACATACATATAACAATATACATATATATAGAGAGAGAAATAGAAAGAGAGAACAGAGAGAGAGAGAAAAGAGAGAGAGAGAGAGACACGAATGGCGCCTTGCTGGACTCCCCCCCAGCGATGGGGGCACACGGCATCGTCGCTGTCGTTGCCAAACACGGCGGCGACGGACGGCGCGGGGGCGACGGGGGCGAGGGCCCGTGCGCGCGGCAGTCGACTCTTAAGCCACACGCGTCAGCAGAATGCAACTCCGCAGTGCGCGCCACTGCAGACTGCCGCGCAAGACCGCGCAATGCGGCAGTTCTCAGCGCAACGAAATGCAACGCGAAAGAAATGTGCTAAAATGCACGCGGTTGCAAGCCCCCCCCCCGCGAACATCATTCTCTGATTCGAAAGACCTTCGACGGGCCTCTTTACTTTTCAAGCGGCCCCAAAAAGCACCCCGAGAGGCCCGAAGAAAGCCCCAATCAGATTCCCAAAGGGCTCCAGGAGGGCCCCAAAGGGCCCCCGAACATCCAGAGATAATCCAAGACTTCTCCAATTCTGCGTCTAGCTTTTGTCTGCAGCTTTCGAAGTCGCACTAAACCCACGGGGGCATCCAGGATGAGTCCAGGGAAAAGCCACCGAGAATCGAGTTGGAGCCGCCCAGGAGGCCCCGAAGACCAAAATCCTTCCCAAACCTTATTGAACTCAATGTTTTTGGCGCTCTCGCCTGGGCGCTTCCGATGACCATCCGAGGCCTCAAGATGGCTGCAAGATGGCCCAAGAGGGCCCAAAGACAGGCTCAAGAGAGCCCCAAGGCGGCCCCAAGAGGGCCCCAAGAGACGCCCAGGAGGCCCCAACAGGCGCTCAAGAGGCCTCCAAGAGGCTCCCTAGAGATCCCCAAGAGGCGTCAAGAAGCTCTCCGAGGCACCCAAAACGCTCTAAGAAGCGTCCAGGACCGCCAAGAGGCCCCCAAGACGCTCCCAGAGGCCTCCACCAGAGGACCCTTCCTCTGTGTGCTGCCCACTTCCCTGATCGAGGCAATTCCTCTGGACATCGTTTCTGGATGGGCTGGTGGGGTTACGCGAAGGGTCTAGAATTCCTTGGCCGGCTGATTGAAATGTTGATGTACGTGATTGATACATGTCATGAGTGCCTTCTCTTGGTGGCCATTATTGATGTGTGTCGTTGGTGTCCGTTTATGCTGTCCATGATTGAGGTCTGTCATTGGCGCAGGTTCATGATGCATACTGTGAGCGACCAAGTTAACTGCTGTTATTAATGCATACGTGCTCTAGTTGTCTGTTTTAGAAGCCTGCGGAAAGCGTGACGTCGTCACGTCGTGATGCCTGTCACGTCTGAATTAATCTCTGCTATTGCATCTCTGCTCGGGACCTGCCGCGGCGGGAAGACTCAGGGACCATCGAGACTATCGGGGCCTGGCGGCAGCGCTATGCAGGGCTGGACAGTCGGGGCTGCTGAGGCCTGGTCGTGGTATGTGAGCATGTGGGAGGGCTTTTCTTTCAAACTCCTAATTCCGTTCTGTCGATTGGGATATTGAGATGTTCCTTTTCCCTCTCCCCTCCTCCTCCTTCTCCCCATCTTCCGCCGTGATCATCCCACCTCCACCTCCTCCTACACCTCCTCCGTCCGCCTCCTCCCTTTCCTCACAGATACTTATCCTCTTTCGTCCCCGCTCCCCTTATCCCCCCCCCCGGTAGTCTGGTATCCTTCCCCTGCCTCCTCTCCTCTCCTCTCCACTCCTCTCCTCTCCTCTCTCTCTCTCCTCTCCTCCTCTCCTCTCCTCTCCTATCCTCCCTCTCCTCTCATCTCCTCTCCTCTCCTCTCCACTCCTCTCCTCTCTCCTCTCCTCTCCTCTCCTCTCCTCTCCTCTCTCTCTCTCTCCTCTCCTCTCCTCTCCTCTCCTCTCCTCTCCTCTCCTCTCCTCTCCTCTCCTCTCCTCTCCTCCTCCACCTCCTGCCCTCCTCCCCTCCCAGGCGCCTCCGCGGTGGAAGCGCGCGACAAATGCCACCGGTAGGCGTGCCGCCGCACCGCGTCGCCCTCGAGCAGGTCGCGCCGGAAACGCTGGAAGGCGCACAGGTCGACCAGGGCCTGTGGGGAAGGTGGCCTCCAGACGAGGCTCCTCCTCCCTTCCTTTGCCTGCGCCCTGTTCTTCCGAAATCCTCCTCCTCCTCCTCCTCCTCACCCTCGTCTCCTCCTCGTCCCTCATCCCTCCCGCCGCCGTCCCTCGTCGGGGGGAGGGGGCCGAGGATGGAGAGTGGAGGATGGGGGGGGAGTAGTGTGACCGATGGAAGTTGGAGGAGGACGAGGAGGGGTGAATATATCAGATGGGAACGAACAAGGGGGGACGAGGACGAGAGGACCAGTGTGAGAATCCGTTTCACAGAACGGACTCAGTAAACAAACATTCGTCATCTTCGTAGATGCCTAATCAAATCTACGAATCGCCAAAAACGTTGTCCTGATCTAGGATTCGCCATCGTAGCTATCATCGTCATTGTTATCAATGGCCTTCGCCTCCTCAGTGGTGGAGGGTAGGCGGCAAAGATGGGCGGATTGGCTGGCAGACCTGGCCGGCTGGGGGCAGCTGGTGTCGACTAATTATAATACTACACCACTACAACCACCATTGCTACATCAACGACTAACACTGCTAACGCCACTGCTACTGCCACTAGTAGTACCACTTCACATGCTACAGATGCTACTTCACCAAGCGAGGCTGAGGGCGCTCTGCGGTACATGGCCTTCTCTTGCTCCTGCTCGTACTCCTCGTGGTGCTCCTCGTCCTCCTCGGCCGCGTCGTGGTCCTCCTCTTCCTCCTCCTCCTCCTCCTCCTCCTCATCATCGTCTTTATTTTCCTCTGCCTGTTCCCCCCTCTCCTCCGTCCTGACTCCTGGCAAGTGCTCCCCAGCCTCTTCATCATCGTCGCTTCCCCCCCCCTTTCCTCTTCCTCCTCCTTCTCCTGTCCCTCCACCTCCTCCCCCTGTCCCTCCTCTCTCTGTGTTTGGTTACTGTCTGTCTTGTTGATGTTGGTTTCCTCTCTCTCTCTCTCTCTTTCTCGCGGCCTCGGAGTGCTCCGCGCGCGGCTATCCCCCCCCCCAGCGGCAGTCTTTGCTGGGGGGCGGCGAAGCTGGGGCCCCCTCCTCTGGCGGCACCGTTTGGTGCGCCAGGTGGGGCCCGCGCCCGCGGGCCGAGGGTCCTCCTCATGCTCCTGACCTCTCGGGCCCCCTGGGGGTGCTGGGCCCATGGGGCGGGCCCGCTGCCCCCCGCCCTGGCCTTGGAGGCCGTAGCCCGTAGCCGTGCAGGTGCAGGAAGGCGCCGATGTTGAAGTCGAGGCGCCCCGAGTGCTAAGTCTGGTAGCGCGTGGACGGCGTGGGTGATGCTGGGCTGGGTCGGCGGAGGTCTGGTAGCTGCCAGGCAGGCCGCGCGACATGTTCAAAATGTGGCTCTCGCCTTCGCGCCGCGCACATTGGCTTTAAGAATTTGCAGGGGCTTCAAGGATTGAGTGCAGGCTGTTTCCAAAATGTGGCTCGCGCCTGGGGCGCCGCGCACATTCGCTGTAAACATGTGCAAGGTCTTGACGGATGGAAGGCCGGTCGTGTTCAAAATGTAGCTCTCGCCTGCGCGCCGCGCACATTCGTTTCAAACATGTGCCATGAGTTTCAAGGATTGAGGGCGGGTGGTTGTCAAAATGTGGCTCTCGCCTTGGCCCCACGCACACTCGTGTTAAACAATTGCAAGAGCTTCAAAGATTGAGGGCGGGCGGTATTCACAACATGTAGCTCTCGCCTGCGCGCCGCGTACATTCGTTTTACACATTTGCAATATCTGCACGGATTGCGGGCGTGTTTTCAAAATGTGGCTCTCTCCTTAGCGCCGCGCACATTCGCTTACAACATTTGCAAGACCTTCACTGGTTCTCATGGCTCACGTACCAGACCTGATGTTTTGGAACGCTTCAGGACTGTCACGGCGCAACAGTCACATTAGTTCGCGGTGTTGAAGTCCCAGGAATGGTGTTCTGGCACGATTCAAGACCGCCAAGACGTAACAGTCAAGGTAACTCGTGACGTTGAAGTCCCGAAAATGGTTGGTGTCTTGGCATGCTTCAAGATGATCATACGGTTGTCCCCCAACGGCATCCTCCCCCTCTCCCTCCTTCTGATTGCGCTCCTCCTCCTCCTCCTCCATCACGTTAGGTCGTTCACTAAGGGAGGAAATGTGAACCCCACACACGGTACGAATCGGCACCAGAGCACGGAGGCAACAAGGCGACGCAACTAACTCAGCAACGGGGCGCGTGAGACGAGTCGCCGTAGCCTCCAACCGACCCCGCCTCACTCACGCCTCATGGAACTGCCGGTCTGCGGCGCGAGGGGCCTCCTGGGCGTCCAACAGCACCGCGTGCACGGCCTCGCCCCTCGTGGCGGCGGCCTCCAGCGGGTCGCCGGGAGTGGGGGAGAGAAGGGGGGGGGGGGAAGGGCGGAGAGGGGGAAGGCCACGGAGAAGAACGAGGACGGTGAAGGATGGGCAGGACGGGAGGAGGGACGGGAAGGACGGGAGGAAGGAAAGGGGAGAGAAAAGATGGGCGGGAGGGATGGGGGCGGGGGGGAGGGAGTGGGCGAGGCAGAGCGGATTGAGGTGGGGGAGTCGTGCGGAAGGAGAGGAGGGCGGGGGGGGGGGCGGCGCGTGGCCGCCCGTTCAAGAACGCTGGCCCGAGCCGCCCGGGCTACAGTGGGACCTCGGCCACGAGAAACCTTCCACGAAGAAAGTCAACTCCAAAGTCCAGAAAATTTCCATGTTTGGGGGAGCCCCGAGCCTCCATTCTCAGCGGACAACAGCTCGAACGCAAGCGAAACAATGTACGCTGGCACAGTACAGGCTGTTGAGTGTCATGTGCCAACGCTGCATGAAACCCCGAGCGAGGACGCGAGGACGCGGGGCCACCGCCATGATTACCAGGGCTCGCCAGAGGCGTGACGAGTCACCCGAGAGAAAGGGAGTGTAGCATGGTTGGGCCAGCCATTGCTCATCATCCGCGCCGCCAGCGCGATTGGCGGGAGGAGAGGGACGGAGTGGAGGAGAGCGAGGGATGGAGGGAGTGGAGGTCGAAGCGGGAGGAGGAAGTGGAGAATAGCTCCAGGCGGGAAGGGGGTGAACCGTCCCCCTGGATTCACAAGAAAAAACTGGCAAAGGCCCAAAACGGTACGGTGACAGACAGACCGTGCGGTGACATCGAAATCCAGCAAGACCTACTCCATCACCGTGCAGCTTTTTCGGGACATCGGAAGCCCCGGCCGCCGGAGAGACATCCCCAGCGAACGAATCAAATGTCCCACGTCCGCGCGGCCACCCTGCACCCCTACCGACTCATAACCCGGTGTGGTCACCGCACCGCTCAAGCGCCTCCGATCCTCGGGGCAGGAGAGCCCGGAATGACGTCGATGAGTCGGATCGCCGATCGAAATCAATCGGATCGGCGGAAAGCGGCAATCACGCCGGGAGGAATCGAATCGGCCGAAAGCAACAGGCCAACAAGGCCTCCACCAAGGGTGCCGGAGATCCAGGTCAGACTCCGAGGTCGAATCGAATCGAAAGCGGGATCGATCGCAATCGAAAGGCATCGCGTCGTCGCCGATCGATCCCGAGTGGGCGGCGTGGTCACCGCGCCGTTTGGGCGTCCCCGATCCTCGCGGCGCCTCTCTCCGGGGCTCCGGGCGCGCCGGGAGTCCGTAACGAACCCCCCCCGGGGCGGGCCGGGGCGCCCCCGGGGGCCTCCCACGGCTCGGCCTCGGCCGCGCCGCGGGCCGGCGCCGCCGCCTCGCCGCCGCGGGCGGCGGCGGCGCTGGCCGCCGGCCGCCCGCCGAGCGGCGAGATCTGCACCTGCGGGGCGGGCGCTCCTGGATGAGAGCAAAAGGGGCAGATGTCAGCGCCTCCCCTGCAGAGGCCTCCCAGATGGGGACCGAGCAGATGGAGTCGGAGGGTCCCGCCGCACCGCCGATGCATCGGCGATGCATCAGCGATGCATCGGCGATGTGCTGGCGACGTCGGCGATGCATCGGCGACGCCGGCGTGGAGAACATCGAGTTCCACATCTGGCCGCATCGCTGATGCATCGCCGATTCGGCGCGATCCTCCGACCCGATCTACTCCGACCCCATCTGGGAGTCTTAGATGGATGGTAGAGGAGCAGAGGCACCGACGTCAACGACTCGCCGTCACCGCAGGGGAGCGAGGGGATATTTCTCAATGCGCAGCCATTCCCCAGCATTCAAGAATCAAGAGCAGCCAGACTGCCAGGTTGCAACACACTGCAAATATGAATATGCCCAGTTACCCGAGACGTACCCAATCCTTGCTGCACGTAAAGCGACAAGCAAGGTGAACGCTTCAAAGAAAACACACTTGCGACATATGCAAACATCGGGTCGGCGATTAATGTCGGGCCACGCACGTCGCACACCTGCGCAACATAGAGCGGGGGATGAAAGCTGTGGAGGAGGAAGAACAGACGGGGGGAAGAAGGGGGAGGAGAGCAAGGAGGATTGCGAGGGAAGAGGCAGACACGCTGAAAAGAGTAACAGCGCCATGTGCTATATGTGCTCGGTTCGCCCCCGCTGCCTCTGCAAGTGACGGGCTCCTGAGGAGAGGGGAAGCGGACCGCTGAGGACAGCGCCATGCGCCACGTCACACTCCAGCGCCCTGCGCTCTGTGATGCAACAGCGCCACGCGCTGACCGAGGTCAGCCACCCCAGGAGCAGCGAGGTCCCGACTGGGTGCGCGTGGCTCCCGACCCCGCTGGACCTCCCAAGATGCCACGAAGGTGGTGACAATTGCGCAGTTCGCTGCCGCCCAAGGAACAACGATGTCCTGCCTAGGTCCGCGAAGCCCCCGACTCCGCTGGACCTCCCAGGAGCCCAGTGACAACTGCGCAGATCGCAACCACCTAGGGAGCAACGAGGTCCTGTCTAGGTCCGCGAAGCCCCCGACTCCGCTGAACCTCCCATGAACCCACAAAGGTGGTGACAACTGCGCAGTTCGCAACCACCCAAGGTGCAGCGACGTCCTGTCTGGTTCCGCGTGCGGTGTGGGTCCGCGTGTTCCCTGACCCCGCTGGACCTTCCAAGAGCCCACGAAAGTGGTGGCAATTGCGCAACTCGTTGCCGCCGAAGGAGCAACGAAGTCCCGTCTGGGTGCGCGTGGCCCCTGACCCAGCTGGACCCCGCAAGAGACAACGAAAGTGGCGCAATTTGCAACCACCCAAAGAACAACGAAAACCCGTTTGGATCCGCATGCCCCCCGACCCCGCTGGATCCGCGTCTGGATCCGCGTGCCCCCCCGCCTCTGCTGGACCTCCCCAGAGCCAACGAAAAGGGTGTCACTTGCGCAATTCGCAACCGCCCAAGGAGCAGCGCAGGTCCCGTCTGGATCCGCGTGCCCCCCGACCCCGCTGGACCTCGCACGTGCCCACAAAAAGGCGACAATTGCTCAATTCGGAGCCACCTTGAAAACAATAAGGTCCCGTCTGGGTCCGCGTGCCCCCCGACCTGGGCCGCCCAGGAGCCCACGCCAGTTACGACAATGGCGCGGTTCGCAATCACCCAAGGAGCAACGCCCCTCATCAACGCGGCAAGCTGTTCGACAACTCGGAAGGCATATGTCATGTGAAAGCGCCTCACGCGAACGCCTGGCTTTGAGAATAGGGTCACCATCCAGTTGTATAGCACATGTATATTCACACTTGATGGTCCTGTCAAGCGCGAGACATCTGTTGGTAACCACCCACCCTCCAGTCATGTATCTGCTTAAATCCGTTGCCGTGCCGCTGGGCTTCCCCACCGTGCCGCTGGGCACGGGGCGGGCGTGTCCTCAGGTGCTGCGCCCAATGCCCTGAGCCTCCGTCCTCAAATCCTCTGAACCAAAATCCTCAATCCGGATGAGTCGTTTAAGGGCGTGGACCGCAGCTACGCAAATCTTCTGAGGCGTGTCGCGGTTCAACTGGGCGTTGGATCGTCTCCCCGCGTGACTGTTTCGGGCCAAAGAAGGTGTCATGACAAGCCTGAAGAATTTGAAGGGGGTTGGGAGGCCCAACCAGCAGCTTCGCCTAAGGCGAAGCCCGTATCCGGATCTGTTGTACCGTAGTAGCGATCGTCCCAGACGTAGGGGGTCGTCGCGGGAGCGACGGGCCATCTCAAGCGACGATGTTTTCGGCCTCGATGGCAAGTCGCGTGCCTCGCGATGAGGCACAGCCACATATTGGCGGCCGGCCGCTTGCTCCCAAGCGGCGGCGGACAAACGATCGCTAACTCTCGCCCTTGTCCCAGGTCACTTCGGAATCGGGGGGGGAGACGAAACGTGAAGCCGCCGCCACTAGACAGTAAACACTAAATTACAAAAAGGCAGCAGAAAAGGCAAATTCATGAGGAAGGCGAACCCGCAAGCAAGTGCCCTTGCGCGCAAGCTGCCTTGCGAACGTATCGCTGTATAAGCGAGTGCTACTCAACCGCCCTCAGACGATGTTGTTTGGCCGGCCTGGTACGAGTATGACGTTTGAAATCATGCTTGAAGGATGACGTTCCTCCCATGACCTGTAGGAGCATATCTCTATCAATGCTCCCCTGTGTGTGACCGTCCGCAGTCACGTCGCGAGTGTCACACCACTGAATACTATGCACGATACCTCGCTCCATCACCTGTCGTCTCCAACTGGTGTGTCCTGAAGGTGTACTCCCAATTGTATATATATACATATATATATATATATATATATGTATATTCCCGGTCTTTGCTTGATAAGGACTTGAAGACATATTCGGCATCTATGATCAAAGTGACTTTGATGCTTATGAGGCCACCCATCTCCAGCACGTCTTTCAACTGAGGGGGTTTTCAATGGTCCTGCGCGGAATTCGCGTAGAGTAACGATCGTGGGATGGCAGTCCTCCAAGTTATGGGCTGCTGCGAGTGTTTCTGCTGAGTAGCTTGAGCGGACCTGCAAGCGGCGAGACTTGCAGTGCGCATCGATCAGATGGGCGACAGGCGCACCAGTTGGCGCGCTTCCGCGCCGTTGCAGCTTTGCCCCGCGAATACCATAGCCCTGTACCTCGTCATCGGCATCTCCACTAAGACGTCGACCGCCGGAGTCACTGCGCAGGTAAACTTCGCCCGTTGGAGTCGTCGATCAGCGGGCGCTCTTCTTAGTGCGGGCCTGCAGCTTCCTGGTAATCGCGTTCAGCCGTCGCACCTGTATATTGGTCGGTTCTTGGACACGTTGTAGAAAGACCACGTGTGCCATCGGCCAGACCTGCATGATTAATGCGTAAGCCAACGCGCCTCTGAGGCTGACAAAGACGTCAGCAACCACATTGGATGCTTTGGCGTCGGCGCCTGCGCCTGTGAGTTCAGGATGTTGTATAGGACGGAGCTGTTTAATGTATTCATATGGATCCAGCGTAAAATGGCCGCCCCCATCCTTGGTGCACCTCCCAGCATAATTGGTATATGTGCGTTTGGGTTTACACTTATCGAAAATGTCCTCGACGCACTTGACGCGCCCGTCGTCGATGGTGTCCTCAGTGCCGGCCATATTGATATCATCAACAGGCTTGCTGCGAGAAGGTTACTGCTTGTCTCGAACTCCTCGTCGTAGGACGTGGGTCTGAGACCAAAGCCTCTCGTGGTCATTCTGAGTTTCAATGAGAAGGCTCTGGGTGCATCCTTGGTGCCGGTGCCTAGCTTGAGGCGATGCAATCAGTGCTTCGACTCATCGCAATGCCCGAATCCTGGGAGGCGTCGAAGCACCGACGCTGATCCAGGTCGCAAGGTAAAGCGCGCCACGCGCTCCTTTTCACCGGTTGCCTCAGCAAGCTCCTGGCAGGTTAACCCTTTCAGGAAAGCCATGTTGATGTCAAGGGAAGCAATGGCCCATTGCTTCTTGCACGCCGCCGCGCTTGCGAGCAATCTCTGACTCGCCCACCGCGCCGCCCCTGAGGATGTCTCCGCGTCGAAAACCTCGGGGCCCATGAATCCCCGAAGTACCGGGCGTAATCTGATGGCACGCCCCATCCCGGCCTTTTCGTTCTTTACGAACTTCCACTTATGTACGCACCTCGAAGTCGTGATGTTTGACGACTTGGATATATCTCGTTTCTGGAAACACTTGTTGTCAAATCATGCCTTGACTTGAATGCCTTGACCATGCATCTGGAAACGCTCGCGTCTTGATGCCTTTGAATGCCTTGACTGGTCTCGCCAGAATGTGGGCCTTCGTGAAGAGGCCGTCCTCCTGGACGACCGCAGCTCGTTTTGCGGCGGCGGCTACATATGCTCGCATGGTGGCCGCGCGATCGAAGTCTAATCTCCTATGTTGTTGTTCGGATAAGACTACCTTTGACATTTCTGCAGTAATGCAGAATTCTATGAATTGACCGTTTTCGTCCGAGTCCAATTCGAAAGTGTGGTCTTCGTCCGTGGAACATGGTTGGACCTGATATGCCTCCGCAGTGCCGAGGTCGCGTGGATGGCCCCACGTAGCAGGCGCCAACACTCTTCTTCAGCTACCGTGACCAGTGCACTGTTGTCAATGATCATATGTGGGGGTAAAGTAGAAAGGTCATCTAATGGAGATGCCTCCAATAGTTCGTTTTCTTCATGTAGCTCTGTGCACCGCGCCTCCATAATATGTGGCTCAAGGTCCGCTTCTGATGCCTCATAGATCGTAGAGGGCCGTCCATCCTCTTGTGGTGGTTCGGCTTCTGGGGCTTCCCTGGCGTCGTTGCCCTGTGTCGGTGTGTCGGCCAGTTCCTCAAACTTCGCCGTCTTGATCGAAGCCCGCTTGAAATTTAGTGGACGCTAGGCACTGGGTGATCCTCGAATGTGCTGAT